AACACTTAAAATGGAAAAGATTCTTGAGAAATTTCAGTGAAACCACAGGTAACCCAGTTACCACAGGTGTTTTGTTTGTGTCATCATATGAACTAATTTCTTTTAGAGCCCAATTCCTTATCCACAATGTTTCCCGTTTCCACTCTACAAAAGAGCCAACAGTTATAACTCTGGCTTTTAGGAATTGGAAGCCTATTATTCATATGCAGCTTCTGCCTCAAGCAAACCATTTTTCTCTGGCTCAACTCATGCTGTCAAAAGACTCTGAGTATATTATCAAAAATTTGTTCAGTGGCTGTTGTTTCATATGTCTGTAGAGGAAGAAAAATCTTTTTAAAAAGGTATTTGGAATGCGAACAGTGGTCATTCCAAAACACTTACTTGTACTCATAAAGAACCTGTGCATACACCACAAAGTGATTTTTAGAACAGGACAAGGGCTTACTAAATAGTTCAAAATCAGGAAAGGTGTGTACCAGGGTTGTATCCTTTTACCATACTTATTCAATCTATATGCTGAGAAAATAATCCAAGAAACTCAATTATATGAAGAAGAACTTGCCGATCAGAATGGAAGAAGTCTCATTAACAACCTATGATATGCAGATGACACCTTGCTTGCTGGAAGTGAAGAATATTTGTAGTACTTACTGATGAATATCAAAGATGATAGCCTTCAGTATGTATTGCACCACAATGTAAAGAAGAATGAAAATTCTCAAAATTGGACCAATAAACATCATAATAAACATAGAAAAGATTGGGGGGAAAAAACCGATATTTGGGACTCATTCTCTGGACTTGGCCCTGGACTGGCCCTTGTCCTCTGTGGGTGGGCAGGGCCATGGGGGACATGCTTATGTTCTGGGTGGCCATGGGCATATGCTGTTTCACCTCTGCCTGGTCAGTGAACAATTTCCTAATGACAGGTCCCAAGGCCTATCTGACCTATACTGCCAGCGTGGCCCTGGGTGCCCAGAGTGGTGTTGAGGAGTGCAAGTTCTGGTTTGCCTGGGAACGCTGGAACTGCCCTGAAAATGCTCTCCAGCTGTCCACTCACAACACGCTGAGAAGTGCCACTAGGGAGACTTCCTTCATTCATGCGATCAGCTCTGCTGGGGTCATGTACACCATCACCAAGAATTGTAGCATGGGAGACTTTGAAACTGTGGCTGCGATGAGTCAAAAAATGGAAAAACAGGAGGCCACGGCTGGATCTGGAGAGGTTGCAGTGATGATGTGGAATTTGGAGAAAGAATCTCCAAACTCTTTGTGGACAGCCTGGAGAAGGGAAAGGATGCCATAGCCCTGATGAATCTTCACAACAATAGGGCAGGCAGGCTGGTGGGTATAGGAGTCAGCCAGTGAGCCAAGAGGCTCAGTATTGGCAATAGCTTCTCATGGACAGCCCTGTACAACTTACCAAGAACTGGCTCATACCCACATTTCATCCTCAGGCCACCCAGCTGGACTGGATGATGAAGCCAGTTAAGCCTCAGCCAAGTGACTTGTCTGAGGCAGCACAATTAAAAAGCATCAGAACCAGGCAGTAAATGCAGATCTTTTAACTCCCGATCTAGCCCTCTTATCATAAAATTCTTTGCTCCGGTCCCCCTCCACAGGCACGTTTTTGAGAATAAAGACCAATGCAGACTCTAAAAAAAAAAAAAAAAAAGATATTTGGTAATTTGGTGAAAAGTTTTCAACCCAGATTTGTTACGTTATATTTGGCTCCCTTTAATTTAGGCAATGCCCTGTGAAAAGAATAACTTACTTAATCTTCAAACTCTAGATTAGAAACAAGGTTTTTGCTCTATTTTAGATTATGTTTTGAGCAGAACCAAGAATATGAGGAAGATTCTCCAGTCATTTGGCCTAATACTAATTTTAGAGTTTCTGTTCTCTGTCTTAATTCAGTGAGTGATACCAGGGGTCTTAAACCCTTAAGAATAGCCACCAAGACACAACAATTAGTCTGTAGTCACCTGGAGTAACAGAGGAAGGAAGCAACCCAAAACTTGGAAAAGGAAATAAACACTGCAGATGTAATTGTCTCAGTGAGCTACTGCCTCCTTAGCCTTGAGACCACAAGCAGAGGATGGTGCCCAACTACCACTACTGAACATTGATCAAAAGGAGAGAAATATGGACAAGAACTTCACATTTTTATAGAAAACACAACATAAAGTATACATTGAGACTGGGGGAACCCTTGAATCTATTGCCTGGAAAAAACTTTTAAGCCTGGAACCAAAGCTGTGCCATAAAGTCATCTTTAAACAAAGCAACAATTTAGTTCATTTGATAAAGAATGTTTACCTTGAGCATTACACTCTTAAATAACTACCTGTATGAAATTAAATGGACAGCAGTTAAGTCTTAAAACAGTTGAGGACTTTAAAGAGGCCGAGAGTCTAAATTCAGTGTGGTAAAACCATAGGGACAGAGATAGAAAGAATGGTACCACAGTGTAAAGTATATAACCATTGCCAGTGAACTGTACATGCAAAACTTGTTGAATGGGTATAGTATATATTTGCACTACAAAAAAAAAAAAGTGTGAAGCATAGTTGTTACAGAACCTTCGAGAGCTTCCATTCTGGTTAATCAATAAAAGGGAGCTATCATCTAGCCATCCTTCTTCCTATTTTGTGTTGATTGGCTACCATAGATTCTTGTTGTTAAGTGCCATCGAGTCTGTTCTGACTCATAGTGACCCTGTATAGGGTTTCCAAGGAGCAGCTGGTGGTTTTGAACTGACAGCCTTGTGGTTCAAACTGACCTTGCAGTCCAGCGCATGATCTTGCAACACCACACCAGGACTCCCTACCATAGATTCTTTCCTTTTTTAAAAGTTTTTATTGTGAATTGAGTGAAAGTTTACAGGGCAGATCATCAGTTTTACATTCAACAAGTCATAATCTTTGCTTCATTATGATGGTTATAATCCCCTCCATACAACAGTATTTCTCTCTATTCATTTTAACTGTTTATTTATTTTTAAACACTCAGGCATATATAATAATTTAAGCCACCAAAGGGCACATTCTGCAAGCCTGCCTCCTGGCCACCAGCTCTTAGTCCCTCTCTTTCCATGAGTCCAGAGTCCTCAGCTGCTCCCTCTCTCCATGTCCCCATCTCTGCCTCCGTCTCTGGTGTCGCTGCTTCTCTGAATAGGGTCCCGCATTCTGCTGCTGCTCTTCTCCCTTGATGGCCTTAGGGTCCTCTGTTTCCACTATAGATTCTTAGAGAAGGTAAAAAGTATCAGGGAAAATGCAAATAAGAACCACAGTGATTTCCCCAAATAAGGTATACAGCTGGCCATAAAGTATATGAAAAAGATTCTCAACATCATTAGTCATTGTTCTTAAGTGCTGTGGAATTGGTTCTACTCATAGTGACCGTATATAGGGTTTCCAAGGAACAGCTGGTGGGTTCGAACCAGTGACGTTGTGGTTAGCAATCCAGTACTTATCCTATTCTTCTTCTTCTTGTTATGTGCTGTGGAGTCGGTTCCGACTTATAGTGACCCTGTACAGGGTTTCCGAGGCTGTAAATCTTTACAGGAGCAGAAAACCTCATCTTTCTCCTGTGGAACAGCTGGTAGTTTTGAACTGCTGACCTGAAGATTCACAACCTGATTCATAACCACTACACTACCAGAGCTCCTTAGTACTTATCCTATAGCACTATATATATTAGTCGTTGTTGTTGTTGTTAAGTGCTGTCGCGTTGGTAGTTCCAACTCACAGTGACCCTGTGTAGGGTTTCCAAGGAGTGGCTGGTGAATTTGAACTGTCGACCTTGTGGTTCAAACTGACTTTGTGGTGCAATGCTTATCCTACAGTGCCACACCAGGACAACTGGTCATTAATGTTGTTAAGTGCTGTCAAGTTGATTCTGACTCATAGCAACCCGAGGAGCAGCTGGTGAGCTTGAACCGCCAACCTTGCAGTTCAAGCAGCTTTACAGTCTGACACATTAAACCCACAATGCCACACCAGGACTCCAACTAGTCATTACGGAAATATAAATAAAAATTACAGTGAGACACTCCTTCCCACCCACTAGGATGCCTATGATCAAAAAGACTGACATTTGCAAGTGATGTGGGGAAACTGGAATTCTTGCACACTGATGGTATTGTTGTGTTGTTGAGTGCCGCTGGGTCTGACTCATAGTGACGCTGTAGGAAGTTTCTAAGGAGCAGCTGGTGAGTTTGAACCGCTGACCTTGCGCTTCAAACTGATAGTGCAGTCTTATTCTATAGAGGCACACCACGACTCCAAAAACCTCATATAGCATTTTCTGAAACCTGGGATCGAACCAGGGACCTTTAGATCTTCAGTTTAACACTCTCCTAACTGAGCTATTTTGGCCATATCACTGATGGTAGGAATATAAAATAATGTAGCCACTTTTAGATAGAATTGAAATGAAAAGAGAAATAAAAACACATGTCTACACAAAAACTTTACACGGATGACCACCCTAATCATAATTTCTAAAAAGTGGAAATGACCTGTTTCTCCACTAATGAATGGGACATCATTTGGCCTTGAAGAAGTACTGATACATGCTACCACATTGATGAACCCTAAAGGACATGCTAAGTGAAAAAAGTCAGTCACAAAAGATCACCTATACTATGATTCCATAGACATGAAATGTCTAGAAGGGAAATCTGTAAGGCAGACAGGAGATTAGTGGTTGATTGAGGTTGAAGATGAGAGTCGCAATTCTTTACAAATAGGCCTGAGGGAATTTTTTGTGGTGATGAAAAATGTTATAAAACTGAACTATGATGATTGGTTGCATGACTATCTAAATTTACTAAGACTCATTGCACTGTATACTTTAAATGGGTGAATTTTATGGTATGTAAATTATATCTCAGAAATCTGTTTTGTTTTTTTGTTTTTTTAAATCAACAGCCAGTCTGTCTCTGAATATACTTGAGTTAGGCAGAAAAAACTAAACTTACTTTCTTGCTACTTTAGACTCGTCCTCCCACTGATTTGAGCTTTAATTTTGATGCCAACAAACAACAAAGACAGCTTATTGCAGAACTGGAAAACAAAAACAGGTAAGAATGCAGAGGTCAGAGCAGTTTCCAAAGTCCAGGGTTTTTATATGTCTTTTTCTCATTTTCCTTGCATACTGGATGGTTTTTGGCCATGAAGGCAGATCCCACCTCAGTGAACATAGGCTAGCCCAAGTTCACTAAATGCCACTAATTTGTATATATTCATATATCCAATGTTGTTGTTATTAAGTGCCGTCAAGTCAGTTCCGACTCATAGTTACCCTGTGTAGCATTTCTGAGGAACAACTGGTGAGCTTGAACCACCGACCTTGCAGTCCAGTGCATTAACCCGTGGTGCCACACCAGAACGTCATATATCCTTTAGTATGTTGCTTTTCTAGTAGTCCAAAATCCTGCTATGTGCCCTCGGGTCTAGATTATTTTTCCCAGCGCCCACTTCCACCCATCCAGTATGTCCCCATGTCATGATTCCTTTCTCTACTCTACTTCCCAGGAGCCTTTTTGTCTATCTAGTCATCTGTTCTACCTCTTGTTACTATGTGTCACTGTTTGCATCATGAAAACAAACAAAAAACTTTTAAAGGATGAAGACTAGACAGTCTACCATCATACACTGAAAGGTAGATCCCAGCACAAGGAGAGTGGATCTAATGTAATTAGCATGGGTAGAAGAAATAGCAGTCACCCATCAGTCAGGAAGATAGAGAAAGGCAGGGGGTGTCAGCAGAGGACCTGCAGTAGGATATTGGAAGGAATTGTCTTCTCCCTGGAGAGGAGGAAGTGCTCTAGTTGTCATTTTCCTTTCATGAAGACTTTCACGTTTTTCAGAAGAGTATCTTTATATAGCTTTTGTTGTTGTTGTAGCAAAAGGTTTTTTCAGTGAGGAAATGGTATTGAGAGACTCAGTATTACGAAGGTGCCTTTTCACATTCTAATCGTTTGGAAACAATCAGAACAAGGCTGGTAGGGAAGGTACTTCTAGAGTCATGACGTCTAATGGGATGAAGAACTATGAAGCATTATGAACACATCTTTTCTTACTTCCATCTCTGCCCAGAGAGATCCTACAAGAGATTCAGCGTCTGCGTCTGGAGCATGAGCAGGCCTCCCAACCCACTCCCGAGAAGGCCCAGCAGAATCCCACATTGCTGGCCGAATTGCGACTGCTGAGGTAAGTAGAAATGTTATTACCATTGTCTCCAAACTGTAATGTACTTCCATAGGAATGTATTTCTCAGGAAACCAAATTAATGGATGAGAATCTGTTTATCAGCATAGGTAGTCCTATTAGAACAGATGGTTGCTCATTCAATTATTGCTTTAGATACTTGGGTTCAACTATGAACCTGCTTAAGAACATCAGCCATCATTACAGAACTAGGTAAATACCAGTCCTTCAGCTCTGTGGCCAGCAATGCACTGTTTGTATTTTTGAGAGTGCTTTAAGAAGACTTTGTGCTATGGTCCATGTTCTTATTTTGCTAATTAATTTTACTTTAGAGACTGACACTTCAAAGAGCATGTCTCTGCTGCAAGAAAGGGTTGCTTCATGCACACAGCCTGTGAGACATAAAATCATGTGGGGAATCCTTGCACCAACATAAATATGAACTGTTTCAAGAGTAGAGAAACAAACAAAGCAGGATCAGAGTTGGTAGCAAATCTAAGATATGACTATTAGTCTCTAACCATCTGGAGCTAAGGAAGTGAAGGAAACCCAAGACTCAAGGAAGAAATTAGTCCACAGGACTAGTTGCCCATGTGAACCACAGTCTCTTCTAGCCTGAGACCCCAAAAAACTAGATGGTACCCAACTACCACACTGACTATTCCAACCAGAGATACAACAGAAGGTACTAGGTGAAATGGGAGAAAAATATAGAGGAAAACTCAAGTTCACTGAAAAGAAAGAAAAATACCAGAATAAAGGACTGATAGAGACTAGAGGAATCTCTGAAACTGTTGCCCTAAGATACCCTTACTAACCTGGCACTGAAGCCACTCCCACAGGCCACCTTTCAACCAAAGAATAAATTAAACAATAGTATACATAAGAAATGTGCTTCTTTAAACAATCAACTACATAAGACCAAACAGTCATCAATTACAAAAAAACAAATAGGAGAACCACTACTTACGAGATCGTCATACTGTAGTGCCTTGCATGTGCCATGATACTGGAAGCTGTTCCACCATTATTTCAAATACCAGCAGTGACATTCATGGTGGACTGGTTTCAGCAGAACTTCCAGACTAAGAATATGAGTACTGATACAGTACCAGAAGATGAGTCTCTCCCTCAAGATATAGTAGGGAAGAGCTGCCTTCTCAAATTAGAGTTGACCTTAATGACACGGATGAAATAAGTTTTGAGGACCTTTAGTTGCTAATGTGGTATGACTCAAAATAAGAAAAAGCAGCTACAAGCATCCATTAATAATTGGTATGTGGAATGTAAGGAGCCCTGGTAGCACAGTGGGTTAAGCAGTGGGCTGCTAACCAGAAGATTGGAGATTAAAATCCATTTTATGCTCTATAGGAGAACAATGAGTCAGTCAACATCCATAAAGATTTACAACTTGGAATCCCTATGGAGCAGCTCTACCCTATACTAGAGAGTCACTATGAGTCCAAATCAATAAGGAATGTACAGGTATATGAATCTGGGGAAACTGGAAGTTGTTAAAAATGAAATGGACTGCATAAAATATCCTGGGTGTGTGTGCTGAAATGGATTAGTATTGGCCATTTTAAATCAGATAACCATGTGGTCTACTATGCCAGGAATGACATGGTGAAGAGGAATGCTGTTATATTCATCGTCAAAAAGAACATTGCAAGATCTATCCTGAAATACAACACTGTCAGCGATAGGATAATATCCATGTATCTATAAGGAAGACCAGCTAATGTAACTATTACTCAGATTTATGCAACAATCGCTAATGCCTAAGATGAAGAAAGTGATTTTTTTTTTTAAATCAATTTCAGCAGTCTCAACCAAACATGCAAACAAAATGCATTGATAATTATTGGTGATTGAAATGTGAACGTTGGAAACACAAGGATCGGTAGCTGTAAAATATGGTCTTGGTGATAGAAATGGTGCTGGAGTGTATGATAGAATTTTGCAAAACCAACAACTTACTCATTACAAATACCTTTATCAATAACATAAATGCTAACTGTTAAATGTGACTTCACTGGATGATGGACTGAGGAACCAAATTGACTACATCTATAGCAAGACTCAACGGCACTTAACAACAACAACAACAATAACAAGAAACTATGGGAAAATCCAGTATTATGAGTAGGAATAAGGCCAGAGGCCAACTGCAGAACATATCACCAATTGCTCGTATGCAAGTTAAAATTGAAACTGAAGAAAATTTTTAAAAGTCCACAGGACTTATGTATGGCCTTTAGAGATCGTCTCGAGAATAGATATAACACACTGACCGCTAATAAACTAATAACTGGAGACCAGACAAGTGGTGAGATGACATCAAGAACATCATCATACATGAAGAAAGAACAGGTCATTAAAAAGACTGGAAAGAAAGAAAGAAAAGAGAAAGACTAAAATGAATGTCAAAAGAGACTCTGAAACTTGCTCTTTAGCTCTCTACAGTAGCTAAAGAGAATGGAAGAAATTAAGTAAAAGAGTTGAATTAAAAAATTTCCAAGGACAGCTCAAAAAGTCTAAGGTAAAGTATTATAATGAAATATGCAAAGACCTGGAGTCAGAAACCCAAAAGGGAAGAACATATTTGGCATTTCTCACATTGAAACTAAAGGAAAGTTCAAACCGTGAGTTGCAATATTGAAGGGTTTTAATGGTAAAATGTTGAACCATGCAGGAAGCATCAAAAGAAGATGGAAGGGGAATACACAGAGTCATTGTACCAAAAAGAATTGGGTGACATTCAGCCATTTCAAAACGTAGTGTACGATCAAGAACCAATGGTACTAAAGGAAGAAATCTAAGCTGAGTTGAAAATACTGACAAAAAACAAGGCTCTGGAAATTGACAGAATGCCAAATGAGATGTGTCAACAGATGGTTGGCTGGAAGCACTCATTCATCTATGTAAGAAATTTGAAAGACAGCTACCTGGCTAGTTACCGGAAAAGATCCATAGTCATGCCCATTCGAAAGAAAGATGATCTAACAGAATGCAGAAATTATTGAACAATATCATTAATATTACTCACAAGTAAATTTTGCTGAAGAAAATTTTTAAATGGTTGAAATAGCACATCAGTGAGAAACTGCCAGAAATTCAAGTCAAATACAGAAGAATATATAGAAGGAAGGATATAATTGCTAATGTCAAATGGATCTTGACTGAAAGCAGAGAATGCCAGGAAGATGTTTACCTGTGTTTTATTGACTGTGCAAAGGCATTCAGCTGTGTGAACCATAGAAAATTATGGATAACATTGAGAAGAATGGAAATTCGCGAACAATTAATTGAGCTCATGTTAAAACCTGTACATAGATCAAAAGACAGTTGTTTGAATATAACAAGGAGATACTGTGTGGTTTAAAATCAATAAAGGCATTGTCATGGTGTACCCTTTCACCATACTAATTCGGTCTATAAGCCAAGCAAATAATCTGAGAAACTGGATGATAAGAAGAAGAACATGGCATCAGGATTGGAGGAACACTCAATAACCTGCAACATGCAGATGACACAACCTTGCTTCCTGAAAGTGAAGAAGACTTTAAGCACTTTCTGATGAATATCAAAGAATATAGTCTTCAGTATGGATTATACCTTAATGTAAAGAAAACAAAAATCCTCACAACTAGACCAATAAGAAACATCATGGTAATGGGAAAAATATTAGCATTGTCAAGGATTCCATTTTTACCCAGGGCAACAGCAATCAAATTAAAAGTCTTATTGCCAATATCAAACATAACTGAAAGCACACAGACTGAAGAAAAAATAGATGACTGCGACCTACTAAAAATTAGACATTTATGTGCATCAAAATATTTCACCCAAAGATTAAAAATAGAATCCACAGAATGGAAAAAAAAATTTTTGGCAGTGACATATACCAGACAAGGGACTACTTTCTAGAATGTATAGAACACTTCAGCACCTCAACAAGAAGACAGGTAATCCAATTGAACAATGGACAGATGATATGAGCATATACTTTATCAAAGAAGACATTCAGGTGGCCAACACACATGAAAAAATTCTTGTGATCATTAACTACTAGAGAGATGTAAATCAAAACAATAAGATATCATTTTACCCCAACATTAATAACAAAGTTAAACAGAAAACAACAGATGTTGGTCAAGTGTGAGAGACTGGGTCTCTCCTACACTGCTGGTGGTACTGTAAAATGGTGTAACCACTGTGGAAAACGGAGTGGCGCTTTCTCAAAAAGTTGGAAATAGCAATACTATGTGACCCCAAAATCCCTCTACTTGTTATATATTCTCAAGAAATATTTATAAAGAAAAGGATTTCTTGATAAAAGAAGCATTCTTGTTTTACCAGGGGTGGGAAGGGAAAATTATTTATGGGCTACAGGCTAGGCACATGTTAACTTGGGTGATGGGGAAGGCAATTTACAACAAAAGGGAGGTTGGCAGAGGAAACATAAAGGTAGTAGAAGACACAGGGAGAAATGCAAGACTTAAAGGGAATAGATGCAAATACTGTTAACTGAGGGTACATGGAGGGGATTGCAATCATGTCGTGAAACCAAGTATATGATTTACTGAATGTAAAACTGATGATCTGCTATGCAAACCTTCATTCAATTCACAGTAAAAGGTTAAAAACAAATGTCATACTGCACTAGGCAGATCTATTGCAAAAACACTCTTTTAAAGTGTTAAAGCTACCATTTTTGAGAACTAAGTGGCATTTGTCCCAAGTTAAGTTGTTTTGTCTCCTAATGTGTATGAAAGCTGGACAATGATTAAGACTGAAGAATCAACATATTTGAATTATGGTGTTCATTGAGAATATTGAATATAGCAGGGACGACCAGAAGGAGTTCTGGTAGTGTAGTGGTTACAAATTGGGCTGCAAACCACAAGGTCAGCAGTTCGAAACTGCCAGCTGTTTTGTGGGAGAAAGATGAGACTTCTGCTCCTGTAAAAATGTATAGCCTCGGAAACCCTGTTCAGGGT